CTAGTTTTTTTTTTTTTTTTCCGGTTTTTTTCCTGTACCGGGAATCGAACTCACGACCTTGCGCTTGCCAGGCAGGGGCTGTGCCGCTGAGCTAAATCCCCAGCCCCTGGTTTTATTAGTGTTGTTCCCAACCTGGAACCTACATCTGACTAAACCTAAAGCTTTATCAATTGACTGAAAGAAAATACATATCTTTTTGCATGGTGGTCCATGCCTATTATTCCAGCACTTGGGAGGCTGAGGCAGGAGGATCACTGCAAGTTCAAGGGCAGCCTGGATTACATAGTGAGTTCAAGGACAGCCTGAATGGCATAGTGAGACCCTTTCTCCAAAGAAAAAAAGAAAAAGAAATAAAAGATTTTATAGGGAGGGGGTTTGCTAACATCCATAATGCATTAAATAGGCAAAAAAGGAGGGAAGACCTACAGATTCAAGATTTCAGTTTCCCATTCCTATTCCCCAGTAAATTTTCCTATTTTTACCCCCCTCCCCCGCCAAAAAATAATTCAGGGACCCACCAACCAGTTATAGTGCAGGAACTTTATCTGAATCCTTCTGAAGGAACCATAAACAGATTTACATAAAACCATCTAAGAAATTTGAGTATTTACTGAGTATTATAGTTTTAAAAATCACTTGAAAGAGCTAGGCATGGTGGCACACAACTATAATCCCAGTACTTGGAAGGCTGAGGCAGGAGGATTGCCATGAGTTCAAGGCCAGCCTGGGTTATATAGTAGTGAGTCCAAGGCCAGATTGAACTACATAGTGAGATCCTGTTTCAAAAAACAAAACAAAACAAACAAAAACAAAAAAGAAATACAGACTAAACTGAGCATGGTGGCATATGCTTTCCATTCCAGCACTCAGGAGGCTGAGGCAGGATGACTCCTGAAAATTCAAGCCCAGCCTGGGCTGCACAGTAAGTTAAAGGTCAGCCTGGATTACATAATGAGACCCTGTCTCAAACAAGAAATAAGCCAGGTATGGTGGTACACACTGGTAATCCCAGCACTCAGGAGACTGAGGCAGGAGGATCCCTGTGAGTTTCAGGCCAGCCTGCATAAGTGAGTTCAAGGCCAGCCTGAACGACATAGTGAGACCCTGTCTCAAAAGAAAACAAAACAAAACAAAACAAGAAACAAACCTTAGTATCTATAATGACTACACAATACCATTTATTGCTACAATTACACAGCTATACTGTCTCAAGAAACCATAAAGTAATTACTTTGGGGCAGTGGGGATGACATAGGTTTGACACTGAGTTGACTATTGAGGCTGAGGATGGGCACATGGGACTTCAGGATTCCTCTGTCTAGTTGTGTGTGTGTGTTGTTGCTGTTTTCAGAACATAAACTTTTTTTTTATTTTTTTATTTTTTTGCGGTACCAGGGATTGAACTCAGGACCTTGCACTTGCCAGGCAGGTGCTTATGCCACTGAGCTATATCCCCAGCCCTGGAACATAAACTTTAAATGAGTGGACCACTTCATTTTGGTCAAAAATTTGACCAAGCAGCAGCATGGGAACTGAACATGTGTATATGCCTATGCCCAAGGCAGGATTTACTCCAGTTTGCTTTTCTTCCCTCCCTCCCTTGGTTTTGAGACAGGTCTCACCATGCAGTTCAGGCTGACCTTGAACTCACTATGTAATCCAGGCTGCCCTTCCTAACTCAGCCTACTGAGTGCTGGGATCACAGGTGTGTGCCACCACACTCAGCTCTTTAGCACTATAAAAGCAAACAAGGACAACCAACCTATGTCAACCCACATAGGGCTGGTTAAATACCTTAGGGCAAAGCTGAAGCCAAACGCTGAGACCAAACCTCATGCTGACCCTGTTTAAACTCCTCTGGGGATAAGCACAGCCCACCATATGTGAGGCACTGGGATCGAGTCTGAGCACTGCAAAGACAAAAGCCAACAGAGCCCAGCTACCCGCAAAACAAACCTCAATTGTCCCCATCTTCCACCATAATCAGGAGAACTTTGCTTTCTTTCATTATGGCGAGTTTGGTGATCGGCCTCTATCCCAGTGGCCTGTCCCAAGTCATAGGCTTGGGACAATCCAGGCTGACCTTTAACTTATTGTGCAGCCCAGGCTGGGCTTGAATTTGCAGGAGTCGTCCTGCCTCAGCCTCCCAAGTGCTGGGATTGAAGGCATATGCCACCATGCTCAATTTAGTCTGTATTTCTTTTTTGTTTTTGTTTGTTTTGTTTTGTTTTTTGAAACAGGATCTCACTATGTAGTTCAGTCTGGCCTTGAACTCACTACTATATAACCCAGGCTGGCCTTGAACTGTATGTGGAGAGAACTGAAAAGCACCTCATGACTAGGCAACGTATGTCAGATTGCTCCGCTGGCCCATGTGCTGGGTGAGGCACCCACGGTCTGGGAACCCCCACTGCCTTGCTTCCTGGCAAGAAGGACTTCGGGTAAGAGTCTTCCAGCTTCTTTTTTTTCTTTTTTTTTGGTTTTTCTCCGGTACCGGGAACCAAACTCACGACCTTGCACTTGCCAGGCAGGCGCTTTTGCCACTGAGCTAAATCCCCAGCCCCTCCAGCTTGTCTTGCTGCCTTTTCTATAGTTGCCTTCCTTGCCTCAACGCCTTGACTCTTGGCGCAAGTGACCTATTGTGCAGCAAGCAGCCGGCCTTGTGTCCCACAACAAAATCATACAAAATACTGCACTTTCCTTAAAAAGAGTAAGGCAGCAATATGTACATGAAATACAGGCTGATCCTCAAGATTTATTATTCAGGATAGGTTAATATACTTACCTAAATCAAGATGTTGCGGTCTATGCAGTAATTAGTGTCTGAGGAAAGTAGGATCAACATTTATCCTAGTAAGGACACAGACCGATCAGTTGTCTCTGGGGAGGAGACTGGGAATTAGGCATCTTTCACTGTATATCCACTTTTATCTTCAGAAAAAGGAAAAATTTAACCAGATGTACGAACATTAGCTACTGTAGAGAAACAATTTCAAACCAGGACAGGCCTCCCCAGGTGCGTGGCCATGGGGTAGCAGCTAAGGAACTGGCACCAGGTTTCGGGGACGTGCCCCCTGCTGCTCCTTTGGCACAATGAGGCCGCACTGCTCCCCTCTGTGTCCTGTGAAGAACACCTCCCTGCGGGAGGCAGGGCCGGCACGTGGCTCACTGGAAAGTGTTCCAGGCCGATAGCCCAGTGTGCCGGCTCCCACAGCCCCGTGCCCATCACAGCAGGGATTTCCCACGCGCTTTTTTCCTGTGTTCCTGGCTTCACACTTCTGTATTTTCAACTAAGGGGAATACAATGTTTTTTCAATAAGCTGGATGAAAGATGAGAATTGGGGCTGAGACAGGAGGAATGAGTGGACTGCTCTAATGTATTAGCATAGGAAGTTTATAAGACCAAGTAATGAATGCAATGTTTCAATATCATTTGGTTGAAAGAAAAGTAAAGATGAAAGAAGATGCACATTCCTAAATGGGGAGGAAAACCAGGAGGAACCGGGACAATTTCACCTGGGCAGTGGTCCAGAGGTCAGCATTTCAGAGTGCTGGAATTTTTTTTTTAAGAGTAGTTTTAGATTCACCATAAAACTGAAAAGACACACATGCATAGAACTGTTTACACTATTCCACCTACCCAAAAACTAAAAGGTTAAAAAACGCTGAAAAGGGGCCAGGGATATAGCTAAGTGGCACAAGCATTTGCCTGGCAAGTGTAAGGTCTTGAGTTCGATTCCTGGAACCAAAAAAAAAAAAAAAGTGCTGAGAAATCAATTACTTTGTAAATGACTGCACCCTGTATGTGCAGTTGCTTTCCTGGTTGGCTGTTATTTGTGGAAGGCTTGTGGATTTCTGTAGAACAGAATTTCTTTTCATTTCTTCTTTTTTGGTCTTTTTTGAGACAGGATCTCGCTTTGCAGTTCAGGCTGGCCTCAAGCTTGCAACGATCCTCCTGCCTCAGCCTCCCGAGTGCTGGGATTACAGGTGTGCACAGCTGTCACTGTTGGCATCTCAGTTCTCTCCATGTCTCCACTCACTCCATTCGATGGCAACTGGCAATGGAAACGCTGCTGTCCCTGCTGTAGCCAAGGGAAACACCAGGCATGGAGCAGGTAAATAACTTGTTTCAGGCCACACGACCCGAAGGGGCAGGGTAAGGATTCCCACCCGGGCCATGGGCTGCGAAGCCTGCCTCTCCCACTGCCCAAGGCGGCCTCTCAGGAGATCAGCTTCCAGATGCTCCCACACTGGCTCTGGGAGTACAGGAGCTAGTGCAGCTCAAGGCCATCTGTAGCCAAAAAATGGGGGTCCTGCTTATGTCAGCGCTGGCTTGAGCAGTACAGTCTGCAGAAAACCTTAAAATGGCTCCTAAAGCATCTGAAAGCTTAAATGGAATCTTAGCCATCTATGTTGTTTAGAAACTTTTAACTCAGAAAATTCCCTTATAGCTGGAGGAGGTATAGTTCCACTGTTCGTTTATTCATCAAAGTGGACACGTGTGACAGCATAAATACTGAAGTTATTACCAACAGGATCTCTGTTACTCTTGGCAAAGAAACCACGAGAGAGATAATTACTAACAAGTGTGCATAAATACCATTTTAAAACACTAGAATAAAAAAAAATTATATTCTAGGCCTGAGACTGTATCTATTTCAGCAACCCGTTCTGGAATTAAAATAGTAATTACAAGAACCGCTACCTTTCAGCTGTAGGACGCAGGCCCACTCACTCATTTGAAACTACTACTTAGCCTCACTAATTATGTAGAATTGAAGAAACTATAAATCCTTCCCTGAAAAAGATCACAGATGCACTCACGGATAATATACTGCACGAATCTCCCCAGGCTGGCTGAGGAAGCAGGAGATGGGTGCTGAGGAGCCTTTGTGGCCAAGTCCCGCTGCTCACTTTCTTGGACCCCTGGAAGTCAGGGCAGTGTCTTTTTGCTATAGAAGCTTTGCCATCCCACGTGGCAGCCAAGTGGTACAAGGAACTCTTGGAGAACTGCACAGCCCATCAATAGGGATCCTTAAAACAACGGTAATATACCCATCCACTGCACAACTTTCTGTCAAATTCTGATCTTAAAAGGATTTTCAGGTGGCAGCTTCAAATAATTTAAATATAAAAGTAAATATAAAGTAAAAGAGAATTTCTATTTGAAGTGGGATTCTGGATCAAAGGATGAAACTGTCAGACATGAGAGAGACCTGAATTCCAGAGTCTCTGGGTTTAAGTGGAGGTCTGTTTGAATTCATAAAACAACAGGTGCAATGCCAAGGCTTCAGCTGTATCAAAAGAAATGAGGTCAGAGATGTGGAGCAACTCAAGTACAGAGAAAGACCCTGAGAGATCCTCTTGATTAAAACAAATAAAATGCTGAGTGAAATACAAAATCTATTAAAAAAAAAAAAAAGCTACAGGGCTGGCCTGAAAGAGGTTAGCAGACCGATTCCAAAACAAAATGCAAGGACCACGCCTCCCCACTCCTAGAAACCACACAATGGGAGACGGGCAGGACAGGGTGAGCCCAGGAAGCCGAGAGGCACAAGGCCTCACATGTGCTCTCTGCAGGCCGGCCAGGCGCAGCACAGGAAGCACCCAGGGGCTTCTTTCCACTTCTTGGAGTTTCTGAGGTGCTCTGAGAGGCAAAGACCACGTCTACTAAAGAGAAAGGAAAATCTGAAGACACAGCAAAGGCCGACAGGCCTGTGATGAAAGAGAAACAGCGGAGATCCTGTTAAAGGGAACCAACAAGTCCAAGCATTAAAATGCCTCCAAGAGGACTCATTTGGCCTTTTCCTTGTTCTGTTCAGAGAAGTGAATGGAGAACATCGTGCCCATCCATTGATTATGTTGCACAGAAACTGGGAGAGGTGTGGGCTGACCCCACTCCAAGACAAATACAAGAAAACAATACACACAATATAGTTCCTTCTGCAAAGTTCAAAAAATAGCAAAACTTAATGATATGTTTCATGTTACACGCATAATAAAAAAAACAAGGGAATTATTGCAACTCAAGGTGATATTAACCCGACAGAAGGAGATGTAATTGAGGAGATATATACAGAGGCTCCTAAGATACCAGTAATACTCTATTTTGTAACCAGGGGGTGGGCGTGGTGGATGAAAAACTATACAGCCGGGATACAGCTCAGTGGTACAGCGCCTATCTGGCAAGCATGAGGTTGTGAGTTTGATTCCCGGCACAAAAAATACATACATATAACGTACAAAATACATCTTAGACACACACACACACACACACACACGGCAATAACAATTGCACAGAAACCCTTCCAAGTGAAATCCTGTCTCTTAAGGATGTTTATCAGGTCTGCAGAATGTCTTCCTGATCTATTCTATCACTCATGCAGCACTGACTTGGATCTTGAACAAGACAGCAGAGTTAGGAAGTCACCATTAGAAAAGTAAACTGCCATCCTACAACGCTGGCCTACAAATGCAGGCCAGAAACAGCAGGCTGTATTTCTCCTGGAGCAGTGGGGTATGTGTATGAATGTTGGTGGGGAAAAGCAGCCCCCAGCTGCTCTACTTTCATTCATTTTTAAGTACGAGGGCTTGGTTATAGCTTTTATTTGAAAGGCTTCACCCAGCCAACAGTTGGGGCAGCGCTGTCTTAGGCCACAGTGGGCTGTCTGTTATCGCTGAAAGCTCTGAAAGGTTCACTACTGCTGTCTTAGAGGAAGGAATCTCAGCTTTCTGGAGTTGAAAAGAAAATGCAGATCACTGTTCTCCACCCCTTAGGTTTATAAATGAAAACCCAGAGGTCGAAGTTATAAACTGAGTGATATTGATGAATAGGATTATTGGTAGACTAAATATGCCACTTACGGTGAACAAAACAGGTACCTAAGTTAGCAATTTGCACTTCAGCCAATTTTAGGTTGCCTACTGTTCTTGTCCTTCATTCACTGTCATAAGACACACTCAAGGGCCACACAATGGAACAGATCTGAAGCCAATCTCAACCATGCCACAAACTCAATTCAGCCTACCCCAGCCACACTGGACCCTCGCACCTTACCACTACACCAGGCAGGGGTAGTGGTCAGGGGATTATCTGACAAGGGGATTATCTTGGTCTTGAGCTGTCAAGTCCAGCTCTCTTAATCTAGAGGGTTAGCATGGAACCTAAGGATGCTACGTGGTGTTTGTAGAGTAGCAATTTCATTTTGGTAACAGGTACACAATCCGACGCCAGCTCATGGAACCACGGATGTGCAAATCCTCAGCAGATGGCAAATTAACTTTAGCTAGCCTCAGTAGAAATGCCCTTTATCCCACTTGCTCTCTGCCACACCTACCTAACTTGTCAGGACTTCGCTGGAAAGGTCAAGCGGCCAGTCTGTCCAAGAACATAATGACTGGTTTACTGTTCCCTTGTTCACCAGCCCTGAACAACTGGTGAGTGGGCTGGTCCTCGCTGGGATACACAGGATTTGCTACTGTGCTAATTGGATGGCTAGAAAAGAAAGAATATGCATTTTAACATGGCAAGTTGGAGTCGTTTCTACATTGCATCATATACATCTTAGCTAATTGGGTTTCAGAGTTAGTACTTGGCTAGGAATGTGCCTCAGTGCTAAGGCCCTGCGTTCAATGCCCGGCACAAATAAACTAAGTACTGCACTTGGTCACAGCTTAGTGTCAGAGAATTGGTTGTCTGGGATAGAAAAATGAATATGAAACTGGCACAATTTGCTACAAATTAACTATCAGAATTGTTAGAATTTGCCAGTTTGACACCACCAGTGGCTTTATTGCTCTTGTTATACCCAGGTATTTTCAGTACTAAGGGCATTCATTTGTGATCACATTGATGGAAGAGCAAGTTTACTGCCTGGCCCTGGGATGGTAATGTGTTCCATCCCCATGGCAAGATGGCTTGTCTTCCTCTTCAGTTCCCAGACTTTAAAATGCTTTGTGGGATACAAGATCTTTCTCAACATTTTTAGAAGCAATGAGATTGTTACAGATTCATTTCCAGTACTTTGTGTCCTGTACCTTTAGGTTCTTACAAACGTTAGTTCAACAGTTCTCAGAATCACCTAGATAATGGGTGATACTATTGCATTTCTTGATTACAAAATTTACTTAACTGAGCTGCCTAACAATAACCTGCATACTTCACATAGCTGACAATCTTATAGTAATTCTCACACTAAAATGCTTACCTGTAGTTGAAATTCAGGTATCTGCAACACAGCCAAATGCCAAGCCTGTACAAGCTACTGATGCTGTCATGCTGATCAGATGGGACCGCAGCAATCTTGGTGATCGGTCACTAATCAGGCATATTTGAGGCATCTTAAACAGTTTCTGTTTGGCCTTCAGAGTGTGTCTTCTTTCCCATTCCTCTGAAGCTCTCACACTCATATGGACAAGGTTTTCTTCATGTAACTTGGGTGCCTTTGTGTTGTCGTAGTTTGTATCTCAGAAACATTCTTGGGTGTCTTTTACTAGCTAGTGTTTGTGGAATGCTTATTACATAGAGCCAAGCATTGGTGGTTTTGTGGGTTACTCCTCTCAATAGACCAGTTAAGTGTTCTAGTCCCTGTATCCGTGATGGCAAACCTTTCAGAGCTTTCAATGCAACAGGCCACTGCGGAACGCAGGCCACAGGGTGACGACTACCCTATATTGCAGGTAAAGAAACCAAAGTTGGAGAGGCGGAATGTCACACTCTAGGCTGATGTGGACCTAAGACTACACATCTGCTTTGCAGAACTGGAGCCCCCAACCTCCCCAAAAGTCCCTGCGAACTTACTGATCCATAAGGCTAAATGACCCCTGGGTATTTCTCTAGAGATGAGGAAATTGGCAGATAGCACTTCAGAGTTTAATTTCCTTTTTGAAGAAGCTTGCTTTAATTTTTCCATATACCCAAACACAAACAAAACATTCCTTCTCTGTCCTCATACAGACTTCCAGCTTTCTGCTCCTAATTTCATGTGATACTTGGATCAAGACACTGGTCTCTGGGTCTACTTCAGGTCTCATGCTTTGTCTACAAATTGCCCAAACTACTCTTTCTCAAGCCACTTGTCCAATGGTACTTTTGCTCTTCTTGGGTGTGACACTAACCTCACTCTCGTTTACCAGTTGATTTTAAACCTTTACTTCCCAGCAAGCTTTCCCTTTCAAATACCCACCCAGCCTACAATGGAAGCCAGATGGTTTTGCTTCGTTTCCCTTCACCCAAATCCAGCAACTTCCTCCTGGCTCTACATTCAATTTCTCCTCAGTCTGTGTTCTGTATTTATGTGTGTGACTAGAGAAGTATCTAGGCTTAAGGTCTTGAAGAACGAAGAGTGTTAGCCTTGTACTGTCCATTACAGCTAGACATGGCCAAGCCTCATCTGTGGATTCCAAACCAGAGAAATGAACGGATAGGTTTCAACTATATATCAGACTATTAAGCCACATAAGGTCAGTTAACATGTTTTATGACGATAGTGTAATCCTATGACCAGAAATGCTTAAGAAAATGACTTAAAAGAACTTAAAACATCACACTACTTAAATAGCTTCAACTTCATTTTTCCTATTTTTAAAAATCTGAAGGGGCTAGGGATGTGGCTCAGTGGTAGAACTCTGGCCTTGCACGCACAAAGCCCTGGGTGTGATCCTGGGCACCACCTCTGATGAAAACCTACAGTGGCATTCTGTATGCAGTAAATGCTCAGCACATCAAAAGAGGACTACAAACAAAAAGTAGGTGCCACTTAGAACTCAGCCTGTAGCTCTGTGGCACAGAGATAAAGAAGTGTCACAGTAACTTTGTATGATTTCATTCTCCCCAAAGGATCTTATGTCCTAAAACCAGATTGACTTTGCTCTCAACCAGTACTACATGTTTATATTCTTGGGAGTAATTTTCATCTAGCTACTACACTCTTAAGGCTGGTAAACCTCAAGAGGGCAGTCCAACTTAAACCTTACAGCCTTTTGAAACCCCAGAAGTGACTATAATTCACAATGTTCAGGGCAGTATTAAGCATTCATCCCACAGGGAGCAGGAGGCTATGAGTTCTAACTTCCCTCATCAACAGAGCAGCAGAGCAGGCCAAGCGCCTTAGGATGGGGGGCTAGCGACAAGGAGTACAGCCCAGCACACCTGTGCCCATCCCTCACTGATTGACTTTCCCCACAAAGGAAGCCAGTTTGCAAAGGAACAAAGTACTTTTCGAGTGACTTTTAGCAAATTTTGAGAAAATAATACACATCTGACACACCTGTGACAATGAAATACGACATTGCACTCTTTAAGAATTAGGGAAGGACAGCTAGGGGTGGAAGTACACACCTGTAATCTTTGCCCTCTGTGAGATGATGTAAGTTCAAACCCAGCCCAGAAAATGTAGCAACTTAGCTGTTTTGAAATTAAAACAGGTTCCCAGCTCTTGGGAAGGCAGGAGGATTACCGTGAGCTCAAGGTCAGCCTGGGCTACCTAAGTGTTCAAGGATAGCCTGTATTACATGAGACCCTGTTTCAGAAAAAAAAAAAAAAAAAAATTAAAAAATAAAAACAAAACAAAAAACTGGCGATGTACCTCAGTGTGGAGGCCCCAAGTTCAATCCTCAATATGGAAAGAATTCAGGGAAAGAGGAAGAGATCAAAGAAGCGTACACATGAAAAAGTACATGGCTGAGTCTGAACAAGTGGCTTTTAAGTTTAAGTGAACCCAAACAGTAGGAAAACGACAGATAGAGACTAAGCTCCATCTCCCCAAAGAGTTCATCACTCTTTAGAAACTTAGTTACGCTGGGTGTGGTGGTGCACACCTGTAATCCTAGCACTTGGGAGGTTGAGGCGAAAGGATCACGGAGAATCCAAGGCCAGCTAAAACTACATAGTGAGATCCTGCCTCAAAAAAGAGAGGGTGGCTGGCAATATACCTCAGTGGCACAAGTGCCTGCCTGGCAAGCGCAAGATCCTGAGTTCAATTTCTGGTACTGAAAAAAGAAAAAAAAAAAAAAAAAAGGAGAGGGGAAGGTAAGGGAGAGGAGGGAAGGAACAATTCAGTTTAGTTATATACCCAGGTAAGAAGTCAAAGAACATAAACATCTGTATTGCAACACACTTTCAGAAAGATTATTTGAAGGAAGACAAATTCAAGATAAAACTGTGGTTTCCAGAGCAATTTATTCATTAAAATCTATTCAATATGCCATCAACAGTTTTCCTGTGTGTATTGTGCTGATAAATAGACACTGAGAAGAGTTAACAAGTTTGTCATTTAATAAGTCTGAATTCATTTTCACCACATGGTATTGTACACGGTCATCTGTTGAAACAGATTTTTTTTTTAACAGATCTTAGTTTTAAAAAAAGTCATAGATACTGTGAATTCTGTATAAACTGGTGGACAGCAAGTTAAGTTCCTTTGTTTTGACTTATAAGCCTCAACTTCACCGCAGAATAAAGAATGTAGGCCAAAGAAAGTATAATCGGTCACTCATATAGAACAGTATTGTTTCTATAATTTGAAGCTTTCTGAATGGACGGGTTCAGGCCTGGTCCAACTGTAAAAAGATCACTTAATGAATAGATTATATGGAAATTGTACAAAATGTTATTAACTTTACTCATAATAGCTTAAATAGCACTATATTACTAATGACTATTCAAAATCAAAAAAATGTTTTTGAATCCCCAAGGAGGTGGCATGTGTATGCAGCCATGCCACCCCGTACTTAGGGGGGTGTCAATACATATCCCAACAGAAACTTTGGCTTTAGGAAAAGAGTCACTTTTAAAAGAATGGCTTTAATCATCTTTTTAAGTATATCACAGGTAGGGGAAAGTGTGCTTTAATTAAATATATATCATACCAGTGATCCTGGCAAGGCTGAAGATTACATCTACTGTTGACGGCTATAAAAACTAGTTTGTACATGACAAAGACAATGAGAAGAAAAAGCAATCCCTTTGAAACAAAACTTTAAAAAAAAAAATGTTCACAGTGGTTTGTATCAACAGTATGCATATTATGACAATAACATGTACAGATTCAGAGCACCCTAGGGCTCTCTTTATATTCTAAAGAAACGAGCATTTACATTTTTCATGGGTTGTACTGAATTAAAAAAAGATCACTTATACACTTACCCCCCCCTCCCCCCAGACAGGATAAACTGTCCTGGGGTGTAGTTTTAACACCATCATTAAAGTTGTCTGCAAAAGGAACAGGGAATTAAAAACTGAACACTTTTCCTGGAAGTGGAGTGTCTTTCATTTGCTGTTACAACCAGCAAATGCCACTCAGTAAAACAAAAACAAAAGGAGGGACCCCCACAAACACAGATCTATCTGAGCAAGCTGACCAGTACACATTACAGTTTTAAAAATGAAGGTTATATACTCTATGTTACAAGTCCCAACTAGGCAGTATCAAAATGACATCTATTTCTTTGCTTGCTTTGTGATCATACCCCTTGGAGGTGTTACAGGTCTTGTGGCATTCGGCTTCTTTTTCTCTGCAGGTTTTAAAATCTGAGAAAATTTAAAAGACAAATGAGTTTTAGGAAATACACTCAACCCAAAATCTTAAACTTTTAAAAATCTCATTCTCATTTTTTGTTCAGAAATGTTTTTGGCTATTTAAAATGTCCCAACAACTTTGAAAGCCTCACCAGTGTAGTAACACAAATAAAGCTGATGTGAAAACATTTTGATAATGCCATGATGGACAGATAAAATATATGACCTGGACAAATTATCTTCCCTCTGGGTAAAACAACTTTCAGTCCACAGTATTTCTAGCTATCACTCTAAAAAAAATTTTTTTTAGAACAGTGTTTCTCAAATCCCTGTATAATCTGCAAGTTCTCCCTAGAATGTGGTAATATAATTGTTTTCATTCATTTCACTGAAGACTGCCGCAAAATTTCAGTGCCTGTATTTGTTTGTTGGGATGAGGGTGGTCAAGCTTATCATAAGCAGCAGATGAAACAATGATGAAGGAAGACTCTTATGTTATAAATAATGCTTTTGAGCTGATTGGAAGGCCAACTCAGATGAGGTACTTCAACAAAGGTTTTGTAAATTTAGACTACAGGAAAGTGGGTAGAACTAAGTAATCGCATAGTACACATCTGACAAACTACTATTTTTACACACAAGCAGTGATTTTTTAGACAAACATATATACTGAGTCTGATTTTAGAAAAGATTCCCAAGTGCAAGGAGCTGATACTTCAAAAAAAACCTTTACCTATTTAAAATCCAAAAACAGTTAAATTCAACACTGGGAGAAGGGTTCCACTGTAATTTTTCCCCTATAAAATTTAGCCTATTATTCAACATAAATGAACAGTAACAGAAGGATAACATGGCAACTATTTTTCAAGTCAGCAAAGCTCAAACTAGTACAAGAAAATGATGTTGAAAACATGCTCTACCTGAAAGGAGCACATTAATGTTTCATCCACACTCATCATGGCACCTGCATTGTCAAACTCTCCACAATAATTGGGTGCAGAAAACAGAGTAACCAACTGCCTCTTTGCAAAAAATTCGTATCCATCTTCAACCACCTTGGAAAGAATGTTTTTTCAGTGTAAGTAGATGCAAATTTTAGGTGAGTAAAATCACTCTTCAGTTTCCCACTGAGCCTGACAGGTTTGTTTCCAGAGACATTGTATAAATAAGCAATACCTACCCACCAAAATCAACAAGGAGAATCTGTGCTCACACACATGCTCTTAAGTGTACATGTAAAATTCAAAATCAATACCTGATGGGCTCTACATATAAGATCCAAATCATGCTTATGGAGAAATTTTGCAACCACTTCTGCACCAAATGTGAAGGACACTCCTCTGTCATTTTCACCCCAGCCTAAGACATCTTTATCGGGGTCAGACCACAAAAGATCACAAAGAAGACCTTGATCTGGTACATCAGTTGGTCGCATAATTCGCCGAATCTGCTCCATAGATTGAAGATCTGGTGATAAACCTATTAAATGAGAGAGAGAGAAAAAAAAGCAGAACTGTTTTCAAAAGATGTTACCACTTTAATAGTCTCACCTGCCTACAGACTTGGTAATTCTGATACAGCCCAAATTAAATCTATGCTTTCTTAGTTTTGGTTAAAAACAATCAAATATGTACTAGAATTTATTGTATGTACTAATTTGCAGGATACAGCATGTTTAAACAGTACATGCAATTATCTTTACATATAGAATCCTGTAAAATTAAAATCCAGACTTTAAAAACTACTCTACCAGCCAGGCATGGTGGTGCATGCCTGTAATCCCAGCATTTGGCAGACTGAGGCAAGAAGATCACTGAGTTCAAGGCCAGTCTGAGCTACATAAATGAGTTCAAGGGCAGCCTGTACTATATAGGAGACAGTGTTTCCAAAAAAATCAAACCAAAACAAAAAACAAAAACTGCTCCTCTGGATGCCTCCCTAGTTGATGAGAATGAGATGTAATATACGTACTGCATATGATTATATCACTTGCCATGCCTGGACACACATGATATAAGATAGCGTTAGGAAATCTCTACTCTATCCAACCAAGTAAAATGTAGTCTATTCTCATCTGAGTAAAAAAAAAAATCTCATCTCTATCAAAATCTGTGCAAGCACAGGAGGCCAGACGAGAGCGCCTTCACTAAAATATATTATGTTGCCAGGTGTGATAATACCCACTTGCAATCCCAGCATTTGGGAAGCTGAGGCAGGACTGCGGCAAGTTTGAGGCCAGCCTAGGCTATAAAGTGAGCTCAAGGCCAGCCTGAACTGCATAGTGAAACCCTGCCTCAAAAAGACAACAAAACAAAAAAAACCCCCACTGGCTCCTTGATAGCTATTTCATTTTTTAAAAACAGCAAAGTTTACTTGAAAAAGTAAAGGTAGCTGGGGGTGGTGGCACACACCTGTAATCCCAGCAGTCTGGGAGGCACAGCAAGACTCTGTCTCAAAAAAAGGAAGGAAAGAAGAAAAGAAGAAAAAGAAAAGATGAAGAGTGAGGGAAAACTGGTTCAGCAGTGAGCTTGGGCAGAGTTGACTGCTTCATTTCTCACCACAGACAAAAAGAAGTCCTTTTTGCAATTACTATTTTGTTTTAGTTTTGCAATTACTATTTTAATTACATTATACACATCATAATTATTGAACAAAGCTCAGCTTTTAGAATGCAAGCCAGAGAATGTTCAGGAATAATCACAAAACAGATAAAGAAAAAAATCTATTCACATTAAAGAAAAAAATCTATTCACATTTTCAGTATTCTAGATGACTTGTGGCTCAGCAAATTAATGGCTGTACTCTATTTTATATTTAAAAGCAGTTCCTGCTGTATTTTCAAGTCAAACTGTTATATAATTTACTGTAACAAATCAACCGCTTACTTCAGACACCTATCCAAATGATCCTGGCTAGGTCATGGAGCACATGACATAACATATCAACAAAGCAG